ATGCAGGTAGATGCCACATTGGCGGTGCTCAAAAAGCGAAAAAAGGCAATTGGATGGACTTTAGCTTATATTCGGGAAATAAGCCCCGCATTCTGTATGCACAAGATTATTCTGGAAGATGATGCAAAACCCTCCTTGGAACATCAAAGGAGGCTGAACGAGGCAATACAAGAAGTTGTGAAAAAGAAGGTGATCAAGTGGTTAGATGCCGAAGTGGTGTATCCTATCTCTGACAGCTCATGGACTTCACCGGTGTAGTGTGTGCCGAAAAAGGGTGGTATGACCATGGTGACCAATGCTAATAATGAACTTATCCCAACCCGGACAATGACCGGATGGAGGGTGTGCATGGACTACCGCAAGCTGAACAAGGTGACCCGCAAGGATCACTTCCCATTGCCTTTCCTTGACCAAATGCTTGATCGTCTTGCCGGGCGTGCCTTCTATTGTTTCTTGGATGGTTATTCAGGGTACAATCAAATTTTGATAGCTCCAGAAGATCAGGAAAAGACAACCTTTACTTGTCCATATAGCACCTTTGCTTTCTCTCGGATGCCCTTTGGGTTGTGCAATGCACCAGCAACATTCCAACGGTGTATGATGGCCATTTTCACCGATATGGTGGAAAATATTTTGGAAGTGTTCATGGACGACTTCAATGTTGTGGGTGATTCATTTGACGAGTGTTTGACAATTTGGATAGAGTGTTGGCCCGGTGTGAAGACACCAATCTTGTGCTAAATTGGGAAAAATGCCACTTCATGGTTGAGGAGGGCATAGTGTTGGGTCATAAAATTTCAAAGAATGGTATTGAGGTTGACAAAGCCAAAATTGAGGTGATTTCAAGACTTCCTCCCCCCCACTTCTGTCAAGGGGGTTAGAAGTTTTCTTGGGCATGCGGGGTTCTACCGGCGATTTATCAAGGATTTTTCGAAGGTAGTGAATCCCCTGTGCAAGCTGCTAGAGAAGGATGCAAAGTTCGTGTTTGATGAGGGATGTATGCAGGCCTTTGAACTTCTCAAGCAAAAGTTGACCACCACCCCGATCATTACCACACCCAATTGAAGCTTGCCTTTTGAGCTCATGTGCAACGCGAGTCATGTTGCGGTTGCGGCAGTTCTGGGCCAAAGAGTGAACAAAATGTTTCATCCAGTGTACTATGCGATCAAGACAATGAATGAGGCTCAAAGGAACTACACGGTGACTGAGAAAGAATTGTTGGCTATTGTGTTCGCAATGGAAAAATTTCGGCCATATCTTATGGGAGCCAAAGTCATAGTGCACACCGATCATGCAGCTCTTAGGTATTTGATGACAAAGAAAGACTCCAAAGCTAGACTGATGCGATGGGTCTTATTACTCCAAGACTTTGATTTGGAAATTGTGGACCGGAAAGGTAGCGAAAACCAAGTGGCGGATCATTTGTCCTGCTTGGAGGAAGAAGGAAGGTCGTGTGATGGCCTAGAGATCAATGATGCATTTCCCGATGAGCAGCTACTTTCTGTGTCGATGAGTGATATGCCATGGTTTGCGGATGTTGCTAATTACCTTGTGACTGGCATCATCCCGTGTGAGCTCTCTTCTAACCAAAGGAAGAAGCTCAAACGCGATAGTCTGGACTTTTATTGGGATGAGCCATACTTGTTCAAGATTTGCATCGATGGAGTGATCNAAACGGAAAACGTTTTAAAATAACGGGGTTTTTAANNAAGGGGGGTTTTACCGGGTAAGGGTAACGTTTACGACGTAAAAGGGTTTACGTTTGGGTTAAGTAACGGTTTTCTAAACGACCGGTTTTCAAACCCCCGTTTTTCCAAAACGGTTTAAACGGGTTAAAAACCCGGGTTACGTTTTTACCGGTAAAGGAAAACGTAAAACGCGGTAAAACCACGTTTAGACGGAGGGGGTTTTTTCCCGAACGGTTTCGTCGGGGAAGGGTTTTAGGTAACGTAAAGGGGTTTTGTTAAAGGTTTTCCAAGTTTACCTACGGGGGGAACGGGGCGTAAAACGAGGTACGTACAAGTTTTAACGGGTAGTTTACCCCCTTACCGGGGTACGGTCTACGGGAGTTTACGACGTACGACACTTTTTTCCGAAAACTTTTCTAACTAGGTCCACCTAACAACTGGACCGTTCTTTCACTTTTAAAGAGTTACGTCTAGCCACGGGAGCGTTCATCTGACCGGNGAAGGAAGTCTAAGTGGTTGTGGTCGATCTCAATGGTTTTCAAACCTTTAGGCTAATTCCGATTCTAAATCAAGTTTTACTTGACTGGCCTCACGTTAAAGCATCACTACGAGAGTTTACGAAAAGTCCCAAACTCACCTCTATGTTAAAGTTTCTCCTCAAGAAGTTCATAATCCCTTTCCCACATAGCAAGATCATTCTTTAACACTTGATTTTCAGCTAAAGTGGAATCAAGGGTAGCTTCAAGGGAGGCATGAGAACTCTCTAAGGCACGAACCTTATCAGAGGAGATTTTCAAATCAGCTTGAGCTTGAGTCAAGTTTTGTACTAACTCTCCTACATACTCTTCTTTCTTGTTCAAGAGTGCCTTAAGTTCTCTGATTTCTTCACTTGACTTTGATAACTGCTCTGAAAAGGAACACTCAAGGCGCTCCTTATCCTTCTCAGCTTTACTAAAAGAAGCCTTGGCTCCCGCTAATTCAGAAGTCAGAGTCCGCCTTTGCTGCTCCAGGTTACGGTTGCTTTCTTGCAATTCTTTTATCGTTTCTTGAGAATTTTTAAACTGTTCCTTCCAATTAATTGCTTCCAGTTGGCTTCCTTAGCTACCCTCTCAGCCTCGAGAATAGTCTTATCAGACTCACGGGCCTTCTTTTCTAAAAGGAAAATTCTTCCCATCAATTCTGTGCCAATAAGGTTGGCCTACAAAGACAACTCATGAAAATAAGAATCTAGAGATAAAAAAAAAAACTTATTAGAAAGTAAAGGAAGAATACCTTCAACGTGGAATGAACTATGTCATTCATCAAAGTTAAGCAACTGTGACTGTCCATCTTCTTCTTCTCAATGTCTCCAATTAAAGGCTCAAGCCAGACATCTGCTCCACCAGACTTCCTTAAAAGACTGTTATTAATCAAGTGTTACACTCCTCATAGCCAAACTTCTGCTACTGGAACCCTCCTTTACATGCTGAACAGAGGAAGGGGGAGCTATAGAAGGAGGAACGGTAGAAGAAGTGAAAATAACAGGAGTCGAAGGAGTCGAAGCAGGTAAGGGAGCAGAAATTGGCAAAGAAGCAGGAACAGATAAAATGAGCAAAGAAGCACTTGAAACCAAAGGAGGAATAGAAAGAATAGGAATGGAGGAGGAAAGAGGAACTTCATCTAAAACCGAATCTAGTTCACCACTTTCGAAACCGTCAACGAAGAGACGTTGAGTGGATTCAATGGTGTCCCTTGGAATGGTTTCATCATCGGAAACAATATTAACAGGAGAGGAGGCACGGGCAGGAGAAATTTCAGCTTCATCTTCGGAAATGAAGCGTCTCCTGGCTCAAGGTCTAACTATCAAAGAGGTGTCTTCATCTTCATCATCCTCAGAATCCTCTTCAACAACTTTCCTCTTTGACAGCGTAGCTTGTGCTCTCTCCAAAGAAAGAAGAGTACCAAAAGAGGCTCGAAGGGCAATAGCTACTTCAGCTGACATTCCTAATAGCAAATCCTGACAAAAAGAAGGATAAAAAGTTAAAAGAGGGGAAAGAATTTAACATACGGGAAATAATAAGGGACGCATACCATGAGTTTTTACTTTCCAAATGTTTGTTGGAAATAGATTTCCAGGTTCGTTTCTCCATAGGCACGGCCTTCAAAATAGCATCTACCCAACCACGGAAATTAGGAACGGGTTCCACATCTCCCATGGTTGCTACGAAAAAGCAAAAAAGAATGAAATTAGAAAAGGAGTTGAAATAAAAAAAGAAACAGATACGGTAAGGAAGAAATACTTACGTGCAAGATTCCATTTCTCAGGAAAAGGAATATTTGATTCACCCACCAAACCAACCGTGGGTACCGCAACGTAACGGGTGTACCAGCCTCGATCTTTATCATCTTCAGGGCTTACCAAAGCCCTTTTACTTCTTGCAGTTAGGGTAAAAACACCATTGCGGAACAACTTGGGGTGGTAAAGATGAATTAGATGAGAGAAGGTAAAGTCAATATCAGCCTTTACCGATACATACCTTAAATAAACTACTGCTCTCCATACGAGAGGGCCAACTTGAGCCAAATAAATTTTAAAAAAACGACAGAAATCGAGTATGACTGAGTCGATAGCAGGAATAAATCCCAAAGTAAAGGGATAAGTATAAACAGAGGAAAAACCAATCCTATAAGAAGATATTCTCTGGTTTGGGTTAGGAATAACTATATAAAGGTCATCTCTCCAACGACAATCTTTTCGAACAGTGGAAATCAAGGGTTCAGTAATTAAAGAAGGATAGGTGTCAGCTCTCTCTAACTTAATTACTTGGTCACGAAAGGATTCTTTATCATGCTCGAAAGATAAGTCGGTTGGCACTATTTCTTCGACCAAAGGTTCTTGAATAGACTCAGAATATTCTTTGCCTTTAGAACAAGATCTATTAGTGAAAGAACCTCTAGAAATAGTGCCAGAGCTAGAAGAAGGAGTGATGGAACCAGAGGTACCACCACGAATGGATCCTAGGCCACGAAGCCTACCTCCTCTACCTCTTCTGTGTCTCACAGGGGCATTGGGAAAACTGTCAAGAATTAGGACTCTCCTAGGGTTGGGATTCGAAGATGACATGGTAGAAAGATGTGAACAGAGAAAGATGTGAACATAGGAAGAANCGCTCCTTATCCTTCTCAGCTTTACTAAAAGAAGCCTTGGCTCCCGCTAATTCCGAAGTCAGAGTCCGCTTTTGCTGCTCCAGGTTACGGTTGCTTTCTTGCAATTCTTTTATCGTTTCTTGAGCATTTTNCACGACCAGAAACAGAGGTACCAAAAGCTTACCTCTAAAGAACAAAGTTGTTGGAGGCCCCGACAACATTTTCAATTTGATTAACTGACGTAGTTTCCCCGGCAGTATTTCCAGAAAGAGTAAGCCTGAACAACTGGACTTGCCTTTCTAATTCTGAAAGACGGGATAAGGATTTCAACCACAAACAACAGATATCAGATCGAACCATAGGAATTAGATCCCCAAATATGTAAGCAGCTACCAACCATGCACCATGACATGCCGCATATTTTCCAAGCTTATAAGACAACCAATAGTCTTTTTTATCCAAAATTTCCTTCACACAGTCCACAATGAGACTTTCATTCTGGGACAGGGAACCATCAGCTGAGAGAGAACTACAACGAGATAGACGAAAATTTCTATTAGAAACCGTATCTTCCCCTATCTTCAGCCACATACAGTGATATCCAGCATGGAAGTGCAATAAAAGGTGATATATTAGGCGGATGTAAACAGGAAGTAAGCTGCACCGGTGCACATGCTCAACCAAATGCTCCATTCTGTTAAAGACTTGGGTGGCACCAGCAGTGGAAACTTCCAGCATTTCAAAGCAAGTTATCAGAATCTGGGATAAACAAATCAAAACTCTCGATGCAGTTGATGTATGGTTCTCTTTGTCGAGCTCTATCATATGATGATCTTCTGAGCCTGAATTCTCCATGCTGGTAACTTCTTTGAGCATGCGGACCAGATGTTCGATAACTACACAGATCTTATCCAGTACAATACCAGAGAGATCTCGATGTCTTTCAACCAGATTAACTAAAATAAAGAGTAAACTCGTTACCTCCTGCTCCGCCTCTTTGTTTGGATGAGGATTATCAACCACTAACTTTATTAGTTGGGAGATACGATCGATGGTGAAAGTAATCATGCGAGATGTAACAATTGAACCAATTCCACCAGCTGCATCTTTCGGTATTCCCAAAAACTTGTCAAAAATACTAGCTAATACATGAACAGAGAAAAGCCTCTCTGAGATAATTGAAGAATGTAGTTTGAACTCAACAATTTGTAAGAACTTGGAGAAACTAGTGAGGATCTCTGTGCATGGAATTGTCTCCAGGTTGAGCAGCAGCATCTGCAAAGTAAGAGAACGTAAACAGTAGGCGTGTGATGCCAATACCATAAGTTTGACATAACGAAAGAAATACCTTGTATAAAGCTCTTAGAGCTTCAAACTGTAAAGCTGGTGGAAAATCAGACTGATTTATGATACCAAACTACTTTAGAGTCACATTTGAACTGGCATGGAAGTGATAAATTCCTTTGGCTAAAATGAAGTGGAGGCATTTTAATGCCAAAGCTTGCAGGCTCAAACCTCTGTCCTTTGCCATAAATGAGAAAAGTAGTTCCATCTGGTAAAGAAAAGCAATTTCATCTGTTACCAAAATCCAGTAATAAATACGCAAAAAATCAGGTAGAACGTACAATAGATGTCCCTGATTTTGATATTATATAGTCTATGATTCAACTAGTTTGCAGAGACCACCTCAGTCATGATTAATATAGTAATATCGCATGCCTTACATATTAAACCAATCAATCAACTGTACCTAAATCCCAAGCTAGTTCGCCTAAGTAAATATGATTCTTCTCTATACATTGTGCTTTATTCAGGCCTATTTCATTCTAATATTGGTAAAGAATTGGTCTTTTAAATTAGGGGTTCTCTAAAGCTAGAGATTCCCTATACTTAGCACTTATGCTTACTCTGGCAGAAGCTTCTCTAAAACCAGCTTCATGCCTAAAATGAAATATTTGGAGGTCCACATAGGAGATGGTGAAACCATCTTAGGCAACCTTCTCACGTTTCCGGTTATGTACTGATTTTTATCATTTTTCAAGACTTATGACATTGTATAATTAACCTCAAATTAATATCATAAATTCCTAACACCAGCTATACACACCGTTTACCAACATATTCATCTTGTAAGATTACATAAAACCTTAAAATATGGTAGTTTGCTGTTTTGTGCTTTTTGGGTCTTAAGTTTCATTTCAAGAAAATTAATTTGACTCCATCTTATTTTTCTATTTCCTTTATCATCATTGCAGTTCTTTACCATTAATGATTTAGGACTTTGAAACAACACTTAGCTTCCATTTCTTTTCTTATTTTCCTTATCATTTTTGTAGTTCTTGCCTCTCTCTTTGTACGTTTGCTGGCATTAGAGACAATGAAAATCAAAATAAATGAGTACAATTATATACCTGTATAGGAATTAAAGATGTCCATTTAGAAGCAATTTTGGAAAGTGAAACTAGCATCACCAACGAGAAGTCTTCTTCTGAAGATTCTAGGATAAGCTTCATACCAGTCTGCAATATCAGAAAGGTCCACTTTAGCACTGCAATAGAAATTTGAACTCACTTCTGCATGTAGGCAAGTGGTTAGAAAATACAGGTGTACCTGGTATCGTTAAAAACATATTTTATTGAAGTTGTAAGTTGCAACAAGAAACTATTGAAATAGTCATTAATAGATTATAGCTAGCGTTTCATGCATACAAAGGAAAAACATTGCATTCACCATGCATAAGGTTGTCATCTTTATGACTGTTTAACAGTATGGTTTCTGAAAAATGTTTTGTTCGAAAAGCAAGCACTTTTAGAGCAAAACGAAAAGGGAAAGAAGGATAAGGGGCCTGTGTAATGCGCCAAAAAGTGTAATCAGAACGCCTGCATGTGCTTGGTGGCAGAAACACGTATTGAAGAGAAATACTAAACCTTATGAGCTCTATCCACTAGTAAAAGTGAGCACCACATTTTAGCAAAAGCACGTCCTCCTGCTAACCTTATAACCCTTGATGTTTCAGATGACATCAAAAGACCTCCAAGCATTTCCAGAAATACATAAGCAAAGTCGTTCGCCAATTCAGAAAAGCATCCAGCTGCAAACAAAGAAGCCTTTGCCTGTAGATAGAAGCAAAATGTTTGTATCAGTTATCATTCATGCCAAAAGCTAGACGCAAACAGAAACAATATGTACTATGTAGTTAGTGTTACCTCAATCTCTGGACTAAAAACGAAAAGAAGAGCAACGCAAAATAAGATGGTCAAGTATTGGCGACAAAATGAAAAAGTGAAGTTCTCTACGGACAAAGGAGACAATGATCAGTGATACCCCTATCACATTGATTAGGAATATCAGACAGATGAGGAGGGCAGTAGGGACGATAGCGAAGAAAGGAACCACGGGAGGGACAGGGTCCACAGAGGATGAGATCGTCGAACGCTTGATTAAACTCCTTCTGCCCCTTAGAATTTTGATCATGCTGAAACTTCCACAGTTAGTTTAATTGTTAGAGGGAGATTATTGCCTCGGAGCATAATTTTTCATAGGAGGTAAGATGATCAGACCTTTCCCAGGGTCATAAAAAACAATGCCAAACATAAAATTCTTGCAGTTGCCCAATGATCCATCCATAATAGGGGTGTGCATTTGAATCGGTTTATCGATAAATCGAATCGATTATTTGTTATCGGTTTATCGATATCGGTTTATCGATTTATCGATTTTGATTCGAAATTTTCCTTATCGAGTTATCGATTTCGATTTTGTCCTCTTCGGTTATCGGTTTATCGATAAACCGATAAGATATACTAAAACCCTTATTCTATAATACCCTTTCCTTTACCCTAAGTCCCTAACCCTATTATTTCATCTACCAAATTTAAGGAATGATCATATTTAAAGCTCAAGGGAATGAAGTTCAAATTAATGGAAAATAGAATTAGCCGTGATGATGTATTTTTATTTTTTCTTATACCGTTGGAGTGTTGGTGGCATGCATTTGATCCCTTACTTTAGTTTCGTTGCATGTGCTTGTTGACACAATTTTTATGTTATAAACGGTGTTCGTCTTATTTTAGCTTCTTTTTGTCCATACTAGTGTTAGTGTACGCGCTTTGCGCGTGACCCTATCTCAAAAGTAAAAACTTATTTAAAATTTATCTTTGAGTTATAAAATTAATAAAAGTATAAGTTCCTAAAAAGAATTAATATGATCGTGTATAATTAAATCTATAATGAAAGAATCCAACATAAATACTCAATTATCAGTTAATAATTCAACTTAAAATTTACACCAATGACTAAAATTAGAATTGAATGTGTCTATTTGGCTTTGAAGTGTCTATAATTTATTCTTTCAACCAAGTCTCATGAATATGGTTTTTTTTATTTTTGTTGTGTCTGTATAATCAATTTTCATTTAAATTGGGACTTTTGAAAAGTAAGTCTAATTTAATTAAAAGAATATTTTAATATTTTAAACTATATTGAAAACGGGGACGCGAAAAAGATCGGTTAGGAAAATATAGGAATTGAACTTTTATCCAAGTTAAGTAGCAGTTGTATGGTAGCAAGGAAAGTTGATTGTTATTCTATAGCACCGGGGCTACCGTCCCGTGCGTAGATTTTGTTTTTATTTTGTTTGTGAGTTGTTTTAATTTCAATGGTAATAAAAGTTTTTAATTACCAAAAAAAATAACTGAAAAAAGAAAGGAGAAGAGCATTCAAAGATTACTACAGATAGGTTGAGTAAATGAGGAATGCAAGTTGACCAGGAATGTGTACTGTGTACAAAAGAGCATGAGCAACACCTATTCTTTGAGTGTTCCTATGCAGCTAAATTGTGGGGCAATCTGTTACAATGGCAAGGTATAAGGAGAGCAGTATATGGGTGGACTGAGGAGTTAGCATGGGCTGAAAAATGGGTGAAGAGACAAAATGCAAACACTGAGCTGTTCAAGATGGCACTGGCAGCATGCGTATACCATGTATGGCAGGAAAGAAATGCCAGGATATTCAAAGAGAAGGCCAGGAAATGGGAGATACTGGGCAAACGAATTATACAGGAGTTACACTGTCGAAGCAACAAACAAATAGAGAAAGCACTATGTAGATTAGATTGGTATTCAATGTAATTAGTTCAAAAGATATAGCTATAGAAAGGTAGTCAAGGGGGGAAGTAGTACAGAAAGGCTTAGGATATATGTAAAGGGTTATTGCTTTGCTTGTAAATATTTTCCCTGGTAAATGAAAATTGTTAATTACCAAAAAAGAATATGATGTCTTCGTGTTCATGCTATATACGATATATTATTCAAATTTAATGATACAATTATAATAGAGATAATTATTTATGGCAAGGAAATAACATAGTATGCATAATTGCATATCTCTTGTATTTAGATAGCTACACTGGCGAAATTTTTTCTCATGCTACAACAAGGAGAGAAAAAGGTCTGCAAATCATAAAATAAAATAAAAAATTAAAAGTGGGCATGCTTACATGTAATCCGTTAAAATTTAATAAGAAAAAGGAATGCATAAACATGTCAAACTATGAAAGGAAAAAAGGACTTCAAAACCTAAAAGGAATGGAGAAAATTCTAAATATTAGGAAAATAATTAATTATCTATTCTTAAATATAAGGAAATTAATTAAATATTTATTCCCAAATATTAGAACTATTAAATGACCGTTTCGTCTAATGTAAAATTAAATTTTAAAGGGTAAAAAAAGCGAACGACATTTCACTAAGGACCTTCATACTTTTAATATAGTATAGATAATAATTTTTCTAACTGCTTCAAATATTAAAATAAATGAAGATCCATGTGCCGTGATGAACAAGATCAGTAACGTAAACCAAAAATAAACAAAAGAAAATGAAAAACATAGTTAGTGACATGAGGCCATACGTGTCTTATTAAACAACGAGTGACGTAAGTCCCAACCTACTTGTTGGATACGCCTAACTTTTTAGAACTTTGTAGGATGATTTATATATTATAGCTAAACAGTCATCCTCTTTATTTCATTTTTATTAGGAAATTCTACGCCCTATAGAAAACCTTAGTACACTATTTATTTTAAATAAATATCATTTTAAAATATTACATCCTATAGATACCTTTTATCCTTTATAGCAAAATATCTAATTATAGTTATATCCTATATTTAAGGCACCATATATGCTAAATAATATTTTTCTCTCTCATTTTTATAGCACGTTTGGCCAAGCTGCAAAAATCACCTTATTTTGATAAGTGCTTTTTTCTCAAAAGTACTTTTGGTGAGAAGCAGTTTGTGTTTGGCTAATTAGTTTTAAAAGCACTTCTGAGCAGCAATTAGTGTTTGGCCAAGCTTTAAAAAACTGCTTCTAAGTGTATTTTTCTCAAAAAAGTGCTTTTGGAGAGAAGATACTTTTCTCTGCTTCTGCTTCTCCTCAAAAGCACTTTTTTCCTTCCAAAAGCTTGGCCAAACACCTCAATTTTTGGCCAAAAGTGCTTTTGGCCAAACAAAAAAAGCATTTTTGGGCAAAAAGAAGCTTGGCCAAACAGGCTATTAGTCTTTTCTCTCACATAATCACCGTATATTGGCTCTAACCACGTTCTCTCTCTCTCTTTTTGCATACACTTTACTCTCTTCTCCCACAAACCCACGATTCATACCTCTTCTCCCACCCAAATTCTCTAGGTCTCCGCCATTATCACTCTTCTTTTCTCTCTAAAATCACTGTTTTAGAGCCGATACAAGTGCTTAGGGTAAGTTTAATTCTTAGATTTTGATATCATTATTTTGTTTCTCTAATTTTTATAAAGATTTTAGTTTGTTTTTGAAATAATAACCATTGGTATTGTTTACTCACCAGGAAGCTTTGGTTTTTCTCTCCAATGTCGGATTCAACGTCACACAAGATGATAACCAGAGGTATACCCACCAAAATTCTCAAATTTGATGGGCCCTCTTTCTCGTTGCAAATAACTCAAGCGGAGTCGAATTTTGTAGGTTTATCAGCAACTACAGTTTAGGAGAGAAGAACTAAATTACACAATGACAAATCGAAGAAAGTCCAAGTTGAGAAATCTTCAAAAGAAACAAAAAATCCAGTTGCTTCAAAGTGGAAAAAACCTATGAATGATTTTTCATGTGTCAATGTTAAGGAAGTTGATGCAAAAAAAATATCAGACACACGACACGAAAAGGTAATTGCTATTGTATCAATATGCATTCAAAGGAACTTGTATGTATTCATAATTATTCAAGTTATTTTATATGTATGATGTTGTATTCGTATGTATCTTAGTTGTATTCATAAGTATTAAAACAATCCAGAACTCATTTGCACATTCACATTTGTCAATAACTGAGTTGTGCTTACTTGAATATTATATGTTGTATTTAAATGTATTTAGATGTATTCAAACTTACATTCAATGTATTTCAGTACTTATTACAGTTTTCCTTGCATGTTGTATGTATATATTCACATTTTTGTAATATTTGGTTTTAATGTATCCAGTTGTATTTATACGTATGTATATGTATTCTGATGTATTTTTATAGTTGTATTTTTAAGGATTTTCAAGGTTCTCATCACTGTTGTATTTTGAAGCAAGTATGTATTTTTCAATGTATTTATTTGTTGTTTGCAAATGTTTAATTTTTCAGTATGTTTTTAATTGTATTCATATGTATTCGTATGTATTCATGTCAGATGTACTGTTAAATATGTTGTGTATTCAGTTATATCTATACTTCTATATTATATACAAATCTAATTGTATGAATTATTTTTAATTGTTTCAATCAATTATTTTTAGGGATTGTGGAGTGCATGTTGCAGCATACGCAGAGTTTCTGAGCACTCTTGGTGAGATTCCACTAATAACATTTGATTCCAATCTACTCCGTCAAAGATATGGTGCTCTCCTCTGGGACTATGCTATGCGGAAGATAGACGCTGATGCTATAAGCGAGAATGAAGCACCTTCAAAGATTGCTAGGCAAATCACGGAGTCAGATTCAAAGATGCAGATAGTGTTAGAGTAGTTTTAGGTTAATGTAGTTTTGGAATGTAGTTTGAAGAAGAATACTGTTTTGAGTAGTTTTTCGGTGAAGATGGTATTTAGTTTGAAAAACTTATCACTTTATCAACAATGTTCGTGTATGACAATTGCAACTTTTCAATCGCTGTTTCACTGGTTTGTTCATATGTATTCATGCTTATTCTTCAGTTTGTATTCATATGTATCTTACAGGATTCAAGTATGTATTAATATTCAGTAACTTTGCTTGAACAGGTTTTAGGTATTGAACATGTTAATTTCAAAGTCAGAAACTTTATGTATTCTGATGGTAGGTTATATTAAAGAATTCAGATGTATTTTTCTGAATTCAGGTGTATTCAGTTGTATTCGAATGTATTTTTCAGCTGTATTCAGTTGTATTCAGCATCATTCATTTATATATATCTTTCAAGTTCAGTTAATACATATTAAAGAATAAAAATTCAGATGTATTAAACACGTTATACGTATTCAGTTGTATTCAATTGTAGTCAGTTGTATTCAATTGTTCTATTCAGCAGTAGTTAGTTGTATTCAAGTGTTTTATTCAATTGTATTCAGTTGTATTTTGTCGTATTCATCTATATTCAGTTCTACTCAACTGTATTATTCATATAAATACATCAGCTGTATTCAGTTATATTTTTTTGTACTCAGCTGTAGTAAGTTGTATTCAACTGTATTATTCATATATATTTCTCTGTATTCAGCTATATTCTTTAATTTGAAAAAGAATATAAATTCAGATGTATTAAACAGGTTATTGTCTAGTTAGATAATATAAATTCAGACTTATTGAAATTGTTATATTACAGCTGAGTATATAGATATATTCTGATGAATTCTGACTAGTTATGTATATAACTCAGGCATTGTCTATAATAAACTGTCAAAGTATATGTGGACAAGGTTATATTCGATTGTATCCAACATATTAAGGCAACTATATGTATTCAGAATCTAGTCACGAAAGTCATTTCAGAAATTATTACTTGACAATGAGAATTTATTACTTGACAATATCATCATAAGTGTTGACAAATCGTTGAAGCACCAATACATGTCAGAGTGTTAACTATTTATTACGTGGAGCATTTCTACACGTTCGCTTGTTATGTCCTCCCTGCCCACATATGCTACATGAATGTTGATTTTTCGGTTGCAACAATTCACTTAAAGGTTTATCGCGCTTCTTCTTTGGCCTTCCAGGAGGTCTTTTCCATTTGGGTGGTAGTACAACCTCCTCTGCAACATGTGCTGGTATATTCCAGTCATTTCTGTCCGGTAGCGGGTACACATGCACATCGTATGTCATTACAATAGTATTTGATTTGTAATAGTTAGAGCAGTATTCTTCCGGCATTAGAAACTTGCTCTTCAATACAGCCCAAGCATGTGGGCATGGCAATTCATCAACTTGGAACCTCCCACAAACACATTTTCTCTCTAACAGACAGACTGTATAATTCCTCCCTCCATCGTTAACCGTATGTAAGTATTCAGTTGATGGTACCACCTACATTTAAAAATAGAAATATAAGTTTTGAGCACATCTAACTGAATTACCATATGTATAATGCTGAATTACTAAGTTACATACAACTGAAATATTTGCATATAGATGAATACATCATATATTTAGACCAGCAGAATATCAACTGTAATTAGTGCAGAACGTATCAAAAGTCTGCTGTACTTTAGGCAATATGAGGCTAACAAAAACATTAGAAGGATACGTCATGACAATACATATTAAAATTACATATAATACAACTTTGTTAGTTGTATTCTGATGTATTCGAATAGTTTTTGCAGCATAATTTTAGTTATATTCAGTTGTATTCATATCATATCTTCGAAAAAATATGTCTTGTATGGGTTTGAGTTTAGTTGTATTCATGGTAGTTCTATTTAAAAAAATGATTGTATTCAGTTGTATTCATGCCATTAATTCAGAAAACAATTAAGCTATATACTACAGTGACATTAAAATATAACTTACAATCATACGTGTAGATATTGCCTCATTCAAAGTGAGCATCTCCTGGTATTTTTTTCCAAGCGTCGTGTATGTATGTGTAGCTTCTTTGCGGTTACTACAATTCCAACGTCCAAACATCTTCCTAACTTCTTCGAGGAAGTCGTATATTGGCAATTCCCTTGCTGAAACTAGTGCGGCATTGATTGACTCAGCAATATTTGACGTCATTGTTCATCCCCTGTTAACAGGTGCATACAACCTAGCCCACTTTTCGTAACCAGCTAACTCTAAGTATTCTTTCACCCTAATATCTACCTTCTCCACCTTCTCCATCAGACTGTCAAATTCAGCTTGTGTGTATGCTTTTGCCATCGAGGAGTATATCTCGCTCAACTTGGCATGGCTCTTTTTGAATTTCTTATATACGTTGTTCCATAGATGCCACATACAAGCAAAATACGGTACATCTAGATACACTCTCGATACAGATTTAATGATACTCTCATTTCTATCTGAAACGATGCACATGTTTTCCCTGTCACCGTATGCTATCTTGAATTGCTTAAAGAACCACGTCCAAGCAGCATCGTTCTCTGAATCAATAACACCATATGCTAGTGGCAATATATGACCTGTAAATACAATTGAATATAATTATTTTGAAAACATGTATTTCAATATTTAAAATATTAACAGATTATATTATAATTCAGATACTCACATGCACCATCCAACGTGCTTGCCGAAATGAATGTCCTGGTGTAGTAAGATTTTAGGTGACTTCCATCCACAACAACAATGGGTCTACAATGATCAAACCCCTTTATAAAGGCATACAAAGATATATACACGTACATGAATTCATTTTTTGGCGATTTTACCATTCTGATGTGGGAACCTGGATATGTCATATCCATTGTATATAAGTATCCTGGTAATTTTTTGTATGAATCAGCCTTGTTCGCCTTTCAAAAAAATCATTGCCTTTTCTTTAGCCCTCCACGCCAACATGTAGCTAACATCTACACCTAAATCTGATTTTACATCATCAATAATATCCTTTAGGGTGTATTTTCTCTTATGATTAGTAAGCTTAGACCTTATAATACCACCTATAAGGCTGCTACTTGCCTGCCGCTGCTCATACACCTTGTCCTTCAGCGAACATGTATGGTTATCAATGAATTCTCTCACTTTGAATAGTTCTGATTTGTTAATGCTTGAAGCCTTAAACCTCCATTCACAATCTTCTGAAATACATAATAATGCATAGCTGCAAAGAATTAATCATTGTACATATGATTAGCATAAGCGTTTACAAAAAAATCACTCATATACACACGAATACAATCTGACATAGATACATCCTAACATCTATATATATAAATTTTTATACTACTGAATTCAGTTATAGTTACATGCATTTACATACAATGAATACAACTGAATATAATTGGTGGTATATGCATACACTTAAAACCACAGTAGACAAAATAAGAGAAAAATTATAGCCACTGTAATGTAATTATACCAGTAAAATACATATGAATACATGTATTTAAGGACCATAAACAAACATATGTTTACTACATCGGTGATAATCAAGAGAAAATACACAAATACGCATAAATACAACAACGTTAAACTTACAGCTCGAACCAATAATAGAAAATACAAAAAAAAAAAAATACACGCAAACCTGACAGCATTAGACCTATCAACCCGGAATTGAAACCTTTGAGCTATAGCATAATTCTCCATCACCTCTTTCAATGTAGCCTTATCCTTATACACTTGTTCAGCCATAACCTCCCTTTGATTAGTTTTTGGAATTATCAAATCCTTGTGGAGTTCGAACACTCCAATCGCTTCTCCTGAATTGACAAAATCTATAGCCAGTGTATCATTTGTATCGGAATCGTACCTTTGAACTGCTTCGTCTATTTGCACAATGTCGCCTTGATTTAAACTACCTCCGGATACAAGTTCTTTTTCAATAGTTGTTATGCACAAAGGATACATCCCAAATTCTCTATTCTCTTTTTTCAATTCTACATGCACTCTGTTACCCATATCATTGTATATTTCCATTGGCGTGCAATTTCCTTCTACTTTGTATTGAATTTTAATGGACTTTGAGCTCAAATATATACCCAGTTGATTAGAAATTGAAGCAACCAGATCATTAAAGGAGGCATACTCCTTTATCAGTATTCCCTCAATTGAAAAATCGATGTAATTGCCCTCATCGTTCCACTTGCCAGAATGACGCAACAACACTGTTAAACTTGCCATATATATAAAGGAGCTATACCGTATTTTGTATATAATTTGTATAAATTTAATTTTCCGTGGTTGAATTGATATCTGCGAAAAGAGAAAAAGGAGAAGCGAATGGAAGAACTTCGAAAAGATGTTGCTCTGGTTTTCGCTGTATTCACGTTTTTTGAGTTGATATCTTCGAGCAAAATACAAATTAATGGGTACTAGTTTTTGTTCGTTGAGTTAAATTAGGAGAATATCATGTGATTTGATTTCCTTCCGTTTTTAACTAGTTTAACCTTCCAGATTTTGTGCAGATACGTTACTGTATTCACGTTAATGCCGCTTGAATACAGTTAAATACATATCAAACTTAGCTGGAATTCCCTTTGTAACGCCTATTTTTCCGATTGTATTAATGAATACAACAGCTTAAATACATAAAATGCATTGTATAAAAACATAAAAGGTATTTATAACACGTAATATAGCAAAAGGTATCTATAAATGGCTAATTAGACCTAAAAGATGGTGTTTTATGAAAAATTCTCTGTTTATTAACATACTAGTTACGATTAGCCCGGGCTGTGCCCGGGCCCAACAACCATAGTCAAAGATAAAAAATTTATGTGGCTTCCAGTTTTGCTTCACCCTTTGGAATTATGCCCACTTTTTAAAAAAAGTTTAATTGATACTCAATTTTTAAATAATTTCAGAAGCATTCACTTTTCTCTTTTTCTTTACTGCTATTTTCTTCTTCTTTGTGCCTAGAATTTATTTTTTAAATTTGTTGTCTTTTCGATAATTTGATGATTGGGATTTATTTTTTATGATATTGAAAGTTATGTTTCCAATTTGAGCTCATTTGGAGTAGACTTGGGTATTGAATCGTGTATTGAGTTGCTGAAGATCGAAGAACAAGTTTATATTTCAGATTTTTGAGATTCGAAATCTGAAGTTGTATTCAATAGATTGAACTACTGAAGATTCGAATTTTGGAAGTTGCATTTGAAAGATAAAAGAAATTCAGATTTGATTTCTGAATTTGCATTGAAGAGATTAAACTACTTCAGATTCGAAGTTCTGAAGTTTCATTTGAAAGATTGAAGAACTTCATATTTGATTTCTGAAGTTGCATTAAAGAGATTGAACTAATTCCGATTCGAGCGGTTTCACTTTATAAATTTTTGTGCAATGCGGGTATAACTTCAATGCTGATCCCAAAAGTGAGTATTTATGAAAACGCTCCTAGTCAAACTCCTCTATGTATAACTGAATTATACATATATTATACATCTATTAACTATATTTAACTAAATATATAGTTGGGTGGGTGACGATTTAAATTAATTCTTTTAAATATCTTAGATACTCATTACATTCAAGCAAAGCTAAAAGAATTTGCTTCTTCTCTTTTTTTTAAGACAAAAGCTAAACTTTCTTAAGATTTTAATTAAGTCAAACTTCAAATAATATTTATTTATATTTTCAAATGTTGCATATATGAAATTCTCATTAATTGATGACACTTCTCTACGAATGAAGGCTCTCAATAATATAATCAAACCTTATCATAAATTCATAAATGTTGCAAATATTTAGTTTGTATTTTCGCCTCGTTTTATTAACTTAAATATGAATTATAAGGTAAAATAATTTTGACCTAATACATACTTTCCCCCTTAACTTGTATGCAAATTCTTTTGACATACTGCAGTTTTACATGTAATATTCTCATCAATCCCTTACATGTGTTATTGTTTTATATGCTTTACCTAATTTTTTGTTTGGCAAATCTATATGCTTTACCTAACTACTTTGCGCAAAGTTTTGCTTATTTGATTTAAGAAAAGGACGATCTCTGCCTATTTCCCTCCATCTTATAATTTCTCACGTTAATTTAATTGAAGCAAAGCTTAGTCCAAATTAAGCATATTTCATAGGTGTCCCGCTTGAGTATTTGAAGTTCATACCCACTTGCTACTATCTATAACATCTGCTCACCATTTCATAACCAAGGGCCTTTTCAATGGAACAATTAATTAGTCGAGATTAAGTAAGATGATTATATAATATTAATTTTGTTTGTTATGCTTAGATAGTTCAGTGAATAATATATTATATTAGTTATAATTAAGTGATGGTTATGTATTCAAATATGTGTATTATAGTAATAAATAAACAAAGAGCTCATAAAAGATAAAAACTTTGAAGATAAATTTTTTTTTTTCAATATTCTAATACTAAAGAAAGATAATTATTATTAAATTAAGAGAAAACAAGGAAATTAGATTAAGAAAAAATAAGGAAATTTTGTGTGGGGCCGGAACGTGATGGTCATGTGAGGGAGTACAATGTCAGCCCACAGATGTTGTATGGAAATATATGTAGAATGACATAAGCTAAGGATAGTTAAGTCAAGACACTCAAAAATGTATACTGTAGCTATAGTAGGATTCCATCGTGACCAATCATACTGCTTCAATTAAAGAAATTTTGGACTTGCTGAATCACAACCGGAGATAGACGAAGCTTATGAAGAAATGCTAGCGGAACTTGCGGAGGATGCTGCTTCGCCCGGAAACGGTGATGAACAAGCTTCTTTTCCGCCACCACCAACGGAAATTCCTCCAAACCTTGAAGGATTTACGAAATTTGTTAGAGATAATATGTAACTTGTATTTTGGCACATCTTCATTAGTTTTTTTCCTTTTAATGGTGGTATTAGCACCTTGTTGTGCTCATTCCATTGGGGGGAGAAAGACTAAGAAAGATATTGCCATTTTTTGTTAATGTCGTATAAGGTTATTGTATATGCTTCACGGTAGCTAACGCTTCACAAGAAGAATTATCCAGTTCATGACTTGGAGCTGGCAGCCATTGTTCACGCGCTAAAGATTTGGAGGCACTATCTATATGGCATGTTGTGTGAGGTGTTCACGAATCATAAGAGTTTGCAGTATTTGTTCAAGCAAAAGGAGCTCAATTTGAGGCAGAGGAGGTGGTTGGATCTATTGAAAGACTATGATATCACCATCTTGTATCATCCCGGGAAGGCCAATGTGGTGGCCGATGCTTTGAGTAGGAAAACAACTAGTATGGGCAGACTTGCGTTCATTCCAATCGGTGAGAGACCGCTAGCATTAGACGTTCAGGCCTTAGCTAATCAGTTCGTGAGGTTGGATGTTCTAAGCCCAGTCGTGTTTTAGCTTGCACAGCCGCTCGGTCTTCTTTGTTAGAGCGCATCAGGGATCGACAGTATGATGACCCTCATTTGCTTGTCTTTAGGGACCCGTTGCGGCACGGTGATTCCAAGTAGGTTACGGTTAGAGATGATGGAGTTTTGAGGATGCAGGGTCGTGTTTGTGTGCCTAATGATGATGGGCTTCGTGAGTTGATTCTAGAGGAGGCCCACAGTTCCCGATATTCTATTCATCCGGGCGCCACCAAGATGTATCAGGACTTACGGCAGCATATTGGTGGAGGAGGATGAAGAAGGATATAATTGCATATGTGGCTCGGTGTCTAAATTATCAGCAAGTAAAGTACGAGCCTCAGAGACCTGGTAGTTTGCTTCAGAAGATACAGATTCCTGAGCGGAAGTGGGAGCGTATCACTATAGATTTCGTTGTTGGACTCCCACGGACTTAGAGGAAGTTTGATGCAGTTTGGCTTATTATGGATAGATTGATCAAGTCAGCGCATTTCATTCATGTGGTCGTCACCTATTCTTCAGAGCGGTTGTGTCACGACCCAAACCGATGGGCCGCGACGGGCACCGGGTACCTTACTCAACCGAGTACCAGCATAACGTATTCTTCTTATTACATCATCATGGTTAAATGGGCCAGAAGGGTCATCATGGGGCAACAAGAATAAAACATCAGGTAACACTTGACATAAAACAACCCAACCTGATATAGAAACTCACACACGTGACATACGGGCCTATAAGGCCCACATGACCATTTGCAAACTTAAAACATAGGCCGACTAGGCCATACAAGTATCCGTATACATGACCTCTGTCTACAAGCCTCTAAGATTACATAATATTGTAAAGGTCGGGACAAGCCCCACCATACCAATCAATACATGTACTAATCATACAGACCAAATAAGCAACTCTGGAGCAAATAGAGCGCACCAACACCTTCCGCTGAGCTGATAGCCTACTTGGAGGACTCTCAACCTGTCTATCGGGACCTGCGGGAATGAAACGTAACGTCCCCAAGCAAAAAAGACGTCATCTGGTCACGGGTCAATGTACATGTATAAATGAATGCAATGAGAAGTACATCAATAAAATCTTTCGGAATGTCATAAGACCATTATGCCTTTGAGTTATTCATGAAGTAAACTTTTCTCAACTTATGTATTTTTCTGAGACCCATGAATAGATGATAGAATAATAGGACACATGGGAGATCAAGAACATAAGCATCCCTAGCATTTCTATGAATAGAGTCATTTATGGAAGTTGTGCATTTGCTCGTTTCGTTTACATCATATGGATCATGCCAAAAGGAAAGAAGGGATAGCCTTAACATACCTGAGCCGATTCTTTTAGCAATCCCTCTAACCCACGTCAATTGCGACAAAACACGTAACAACAAGATCGGAGTAGGGAAAATCCGTATGATATTCTTGAGAAAGATTGCACTGTATTTCCTTAGAACCGTAAAATCTCATGTTGCTAAGTATTAAGTAGTCTTGTATGAGATTTGATTGTAGCAAATCACGTAATAATTGTATGAAATTGGCTGGAACTCCATTTCACTTCATTGTAGAGATGCAAGAACCTTTCTTAAGTAATTTGGAGGGGTTTTTATTCTTAGTTGGTATGGGCCCCACTATGTGATGACTTGGCCACAAATTTCTTTCAACGTGACACCTTTTATGTGACTTTAAGACTCACCAATTTGGCCAAAACTTGCTGCCATGTTAGGGAGGCCTTTTAGGCTTATCCATCAACATCTTAATAAATTACCAATTCCTTAATTAACTTGGTAATTTTCCACTAATCCAATAAT